GCAAGCACAAGGGCCTGAGTTCAATCCTTGGTTCAAAAAAAAAAAAAAAAAAGAACCGGGGCCTTTGCACTTACCTACATATCCACCACTTTTAAAATGTTATGCTTGTTTTTGAGATGGGCTAGCAGGCTGAAACTCAAAGTTGTTATATTTCTGCCTCAGCCTCAAAAAGTACAGTGCTGGGACATGCACCATCATGCTTGGCTTCATGTACCTACGTCTAGAGGTAAATGCAAGGGTAAAAGTGACATTACTAGCAGGGCATGATGGTGAATGCCTGTAATACCAGCACTCAGGAAGCTGAGGCAGGAGGATCGCTGAGTTTGAGGCCAGCCTGGGCTAGAAAGTGAGCTTAAGGCTAGCCTGGACTACACAGACCCTATCTAACCCCCCCAGGAAACCCCAAGACGCCAGACGTTATTTTTCCCACCAAAGAAGTGGGAACAAGCTGTACGCTCTCTGATAATGAAGACAAAGAATGTTATTTAGAAAGTAGTGAAGAACATACTTTACAAAACATACTTGTGTCATTCTCATGATTTTTTGGAGCATTTTGAACAAAAGCGCCTTTCCAAAAACCAAGTACAAGGATTGCTACTGTTTCACAAGACCAGCTCTTTGCACATGTGATGGTTGATTAGCACTTAGTTTTGACATGTTCTTTCGTGTAAGGGCTTTTTCTCCTCTTCCTCATTAAAAGGAAGAATGTGTTCCCTTTCTGTGTGATCCCTTTCTTTCTGCAGTTCCACTGCGTGTTTTCCGCCGAAAGCTGGACCTCTGCCTTCACTTGAAACGCTTGAAGCTAATTTATTAGTTGTAATAATTGAAGGCATTCAAAACGTCCAGGCTTTGGCTCTTCTTGGTGACTTTTTAAAAAGTATCCTGAAGATGACTTTATACAGATATTTTGGCCTATAAAATTTAATTTTGGCCTGTTAACACCCCCCCCCCCTCTTCTTGATGCTTCTAACGCAGGATTTTAGAAGGTTGGCAGAGAGGTCTGTGGGTTCTTGTGTCCCACGTCCTACTACACTGTTCCAGAGGTGCCGGGGGTCCCTCTGGTGGTGACTAGGAGAACTTCTAGTTCGGCGGGTGGCTTGGTTTCAAAGCCAAAGGTTAATTTAAGAACTCAGGCTGAATTACTCCCTTGGGTGTCAGCCCAGCACAAGGCAGTTAATTGTTTCACGCTTTTCTTTCATGTCCAGCCAGTGAGACTTCTGGGCTGTTGAAGCATGTGTCGCAGGACAGATCTGGGGAACGACCCTGGGGCCCTAATTTGCGCTGCCTGAAGTTTCATAGGACCTGGACTGCCTGCTAGCAGCCCTAGATAATTACATAAACTGGTTCAACAACTTTAAAAATAGCTTGTGCTTTTTTTTTTTTTTTTTTTTTAACATTAGGATTTTTTTTTGTTTTTGCATATGTATGCAATACACAATAGTGATATTAATTTGGGGAATTGGTACAAAAATGTGGCATGTCTAGATCATTTGGTCCTTTTATTCTGCTCCCCCTTATTGTGTGCTTTTTTCTTATGGCAAAGGGAATGTTCATTACAAAATACTTTGAAGGTATAGCTACAATGAAAGAAAATATCCCACCATCCATTTAACTCATTAACACTTTGCTTTATGTCCTTTCTTTTGAGCCTTTCCCTCCTAATTTAAACAAATGTTAAAAGAATTTCAGTTTGGCGTGGTGGTGCATGCCCGCAATCCCAGCACTGGGGAGGCGGAGGCAGGGATATCCTTGCAAGTTCGAGACCAGGCTGGGCTACAAAGTGCGCCCCAGCCCAGCCTGAGCTGCCTAGCAAGACCCTGTCTCAGAAAGACAAAAGAATTGCAGAACAAGCCATTTGGTGCTGCTTTCCCCTCTGGGCCGAGCCCTGCGGCCAGGGCCTTCACTCTGAGCTACATCCTCGGCCTTTCTTATTTTCTGTTCTGTGACGGGTGCTCCCAGGTGTGAATTCTGGTCCGTCCCCCAGGCTTGGGCCACCACGCCTGGGTGCGCCCAGTTTGTTAGGGTTCTGTCAGTACGCGTGTGCCTCTGTGGCATGGTCACCCACATACGCTCAGCAGCCACCTCCCCCATTAACGCAATTATTGTCTTTTTACTTTTTTATTATTATTTTATTGAGAAACAGCAATGAGACAATTCCAAAACCGATTAATAGGACAGATTCAATAATTAATACATTGCACATTGTTATTTTCTTAGTGTTTATCCGTAGTACAAGATGCAGACAGAATATCCTGTACAAACACTATTAGTACAAATCCTTCTTCTCATTGAATTAAGCAAAAGCAGCTGTATATCTATCCTAATTATTCTGCATATACAGATACAAAATGGTCCTTCCTTTGTGTCCCCTTATTTTGTTTAGTCCTGTCAGAAGTGGGTATTCCATTGACATCTAAATACTATAGGTGCGTGAATTCAGCAAAACAATCCAACACGGTCTAGCAGTCCACAAAAGTAGTGGGTTATCCACAGAAGTTGTTGACTTGAGCCTTTCAAAGCTCTGCATATTAATATGGTTTACTTTATATACCTTCTTTTTATACTTTTCTGCTGGATGGTTAAGACCAAGATAAAGCAAGTTTTACTTTTTTATTATTTTATTAACAAGAAATGTAACTTTTGTATCTGCCAAGGTCAGTCAGATCCCTTCAGGATTTACCCTGCAACCCTGTACCTCAGATTGCAGATCCTTTGTCAGGGTCACCCATGTGGATTAGTCAGTCACGGCCACTGCTTGACCAATCTCTCTGTGAAAGCCTGAGAGAATGTTTTCTCTCCAGGTGACCCTCCTTAGGCGCACTCTGCATCATCGATCACATTGCTCTGTGGTCCTATAAGCTCCTTGATCAGAAAATTTGGGACACAACTGAGTTATAGGATGTTACAGTATATGTTCTCCTATGTCCTGAGTCTTCGCTGACCTTGAAAGGCTGGGGCCAAAATCTTGGCTGTCCTTGCAGCCCTTGTAGTTCTCTAATTTTTGGTCTGCAAACTTAGGTTGTTAACCCTCCAGAAGAGAAGCTTATTATTACTCTATATCTTTTTTTTTTAAATGCAGGGCTTCAATTTTTTTTTTAAATCTTTTTTATTTTTTATTTTATTTTATTTTTTTGGTGGAACTGGGAGTTGAACTCAGACCCTTGTACTTGCCAGGGAAGCACTTATTCCACTGAGCCATCTCTCCAGCCCCTATTACTCTATATCTTATGCAATTGGGTTTAACTTCGCTATCTGTCTGAATATCAAACATCTTAGGTATAAGATGGAACAGTTATGTTACCTAAACAGTTAACGTGTTTTCCATCAAGTATTGATACGTTAAACATTAAGTCCATATAGAATATGGAGATAAACATTTAAAAAATGAAAAATATTCAAAGAATATGAATAAGCAGTTACATATTTTTACACAGAAATTTAGAAATCTAACCATATACAGCATTGTAGCAGGACAGTCCTGTGACTTTTTTTTCTTTTTCTTGTCTTTTTTTCATTTATTACCCATTAAAAAAGAAAAGAAAACTTTTACTTGTGAGACACTATGGTAATAATTGGTGTGTCATGACAAGAAGTACGCATTTAGAAGAC